ACATTTTTTGATAGGATGAACATATAACTCCTACGCTCCTTTCAAAACATTGCCAGGAGAACAGATTAGAAATTCGAAAATGAACAAAAACACAGCGATGAATGATGTGCATACGACAACAAATAAGAGGACTATGAGTTTCGCCTCCGTTATACGAATGGGTGGATAAAATCAGCACGACAGCATGGTTCCACCGGCACGGTGGAAACATTTAACCCCCTAGGTCGACTTATACCAGGAAGTATAATGGGAACATTTCCAACTGCACACAAGGGCAGCTGGTGAAATCTGGAACAATGTCGCGCAGGGTGCTTCCTTAACTCTGTCTTGAGTAAGAGCCCTATTTTTACCTCCTAAAAGGTCAGCCAACCTTTCTCGAATTTTTTAGAACCCTTTCTCTACACGCTGTTAGGTGGAGAGGATATGTCACGCTGAGCACGGTTGGAAAATTTGTTCGTAAGTTTCAACATATCTAGTTCGATGCTATGCGAAGCATAAAAAAAGATTTCCAGCTCCTACCCTGCCACACCAGTTTAAAAAATTTTCTTTGAAATCCTTTAACTTTTCCAAGTCTTCGCTACATGTCGGCAGTGTGGTCAAACTTGACGCGGGAGGAAAATTGGTACACCATAAGGGTTGTTGCCCCCTGCAGTAAGATAGAACAATACATGTAGCGAACGACTGAAACTTTCAAGATTGAAGAGCTCCACTACCACAACTGTTCCACTGTTGTTTCGCGCTGCCTTCGATTAGGGCTTTTGGCTTCATTTCAAAAGCAAGGCAACATGTCAGCACAGCTACAGCCTTCGAGCACACTTTCGAATAAAAAAAGTAGTTCCGAATGGAATACTGATGATGACGTTTCCCAATGATCGCGAAGAATTCCATTCGCCTCATTCTTCCACCAGAAGCACAGCTAACAGCAATTGCTGGAATCCTGTTACCAATTGAGGAAAGGAAAAAACTAGACAAATAAGGCTATGATTCATTCTATAACAAAGAGTGTAAATAATGTCAATGTTGTGGTAAAGAGTAAGAAGCAAATGTCACATCTTGTTCGCGTGGATCGTGGGGCGGGTCAGGGAGGGGGGGGGGGTGCTAGGAATTAGCTAGGCAACCACACTTAGTAGAAAACCTGCCTGCGCCATTTAGCTCTCCTCCTTGCGCCCCCAGCGTCCGTAGTGAACAAGACTGTACACGTCAAACGTTAGTGGGAATATTGATATGGTCCTTCTTTGACTTATTGACTTACAGCAAGATATGATAATATAGGAATCTGTCACCAAGGAGTCTTATCATAATAAGCCCACACTAAACCGTTGCCTTACATCGCTCCCCCCTGAAACAAGTCTTATCAATAATAAGTCCACCTTAAGTCATTGCTTTATATTGTCTTCCATGGAGACAATTTGTTACCTCGAAGCAATATTCTTTCCCTTCCTTATCCCTGCCCTCTCTTCACTTCCTACCTCTTCCCTCCTTACATCAATGCTTATGATTAGTTATTTACCCTATATCTGAGGTATAGGGCGCACCTTCTCTTCTTTTCTGGTCTTCATTGGTGTGTATTTTTTTACTTTGTTTTTTTTTTCTAGCTGAACGGGGATATGCAATTGATTGATGCATGTTTAGGAGGACCTAGAGAATAAAGTAAAGGACTTAGGAGAAGCGGCGCTGCTTCATGAATTCTCGTGCACATTTGCGTATTGCGCTTACGTGCATGATAACAAATACGCCCTGTAGCTCAAGAAATATGATAATTTTCTAGTTCCATGGAAAAACTTACCGATGCGCGTTGCGGCACGATTTTTGACGTCACCGCGACTGTAGGCGAGGCGAAAGGCGATCTCCTGTACCTCCACCACTGGGCTCCAATCAGTAGCCGCTTTTACGTGTAAGGAAAAAGAATAGAGTGAGAAAGATGATTGAGCAGATAGTGGATGCTTACGGATGAAATAGCGGTAGTGGTGAGAAATTACACAAAAGTCGACTATCAGGGCGAATTACTTAAGTAAATGGCGAAACTGGCGGAATACTTGCCTTCGATTGCGGAAACGACGCAAACAGCTTGTACGCAAAAGTTTGAGGTGAGGTTTGGCAAATTGCCAACAGCTGGTTTCATCGTTTTTTGAGAGAAGGAAAAAATTAAGGCAACTGGTTTATGTGAGGAATTTGTGTTATCGAAGGAAGTTGTACCAGCACACATCCATGAACCACTTGTACTGAATTTATGTACACGTTTGCTTTTGGCTTGCGAGCGACCGCTTCTCAGATAGTCCCATTCCGCCTAGTGGACTCTTGCCTGACTATGATCCTTCAACATAATGTCCTCAGAGTAGGATCATAGCCACTTATGTGCTACTCAAAGTTCGCGACAGTAGCGGGCGATCGTAGCGATTGCCACGATTGTCGGTAAGCGAGAGAGCGCGCTTGAACGCTTACTTGGACCTGAATGTTGAACACATAAAAGAGGCGCCAAAATTTATTGCGAAAGACTCAAAAGATTCAAAAGAATCCAAAAGTTTTCACAAAAATTTTTTATATTGTTTATACTCTTTCTTCTTCGAATATTTCGGTGCCTAGCACCTTCTTCAGCGACCTGAAATACTACAGTTAGCCACCTCCACCGGAATCCTGAATCTTCAGTGGTGCCTCCTTCTGGACTCTGACCTGGTCTGCTGCCTCCAGTATCCGCCAGTATGCCGACGCTGCTCCTTGCGAATGCCGCGTCTTCTAGTGGTAACTGTGACCCTACCCGTTACCCTGCTTAAATAGTGAGGATGCCTAGTGAGTGCTTCTGCATATGATATCACTGACCGCTCCACCATTATCATTACCGTAGTCAGTGAATCAACTGCAGCGAAATATTCGAAGAAGAAAGAGTATAAACAATATAAAAAATTTTTGTGAAAACTTTTGGATTCTTTTGAATCTTTTGAGTCTTTCGCAATAAATTTTGGCGCCTCTTTTATGTGTTCAACATTCAGATTGCAATGAGGCTCCGGGACAGCACTATTTTAAGCTTACTTGGACCGCTCGCCTTGATAAATCAGTAAATCCAACTTCTAATAACTTCTTTCTCTTAATAATGGCTATTAGCTGAACACTTACGACTTTCTATACTTGCAAGAATCCAAAATTGAGAAAGGGGGGAGGTTTCACCTCTTTTGAGGGCAAGAATCCAAAATAGTATGAGGAAGGGGGGGAGGTTTCACCTCTTTTGAGGTCCGGGATAAGGGTGAGCCTTCTTTTTTGTTTCTTTTGTATTTGTCATTGTTTCAATTTATACCATTTTCACTTTAAATTCACCCTTTTTCAAACCAAATTCACCCTTTTTCAAACCAAATTCACCCTTTTTCAAACCAAATTCACCCCTTTTTCAAACCAAATTCACCCTCACTTTTCACATAAATTAACCAATTATAAGGGCGGGCATCATCAAGCAGATCATGCCAGACTTCACTGCGAGCCCCGACGACGGCACGCCCACTTGTCAGCGCGGACATAGATTCTCAGTTCTTGTTCCATAACTTCTGCTTTTGCTGTTTCCCACAAACACTTTGACTGGAAACGACCGGGCATTGACACATGGCCGACTCCGCCCATTCTCTAAAGGGTTTGGCAATCTAGGCTGACCACGCCCACTTGCTTTTCGCGGACTTTCGATTTTTTTCAAAATTTTTGCATTTTAGGGCTGCTGCGTGAAGCCCCGCCCACTTGTAGAGGAGGCTCCATCATTTGGGAAAAAGGCCGCCACTTTTTCAAAAAAATGGCTACAAATCGGCAGCTTAATCGGCAGTATAAGAGCCTTGGCTTGCCATTGCTAGTCGGTATTGCTTGAGCATCGAATAAAACTTTGCCGCGATTTTTCTTAGTTCTGAAGTGTTTCCGGAGGTTCCTAGCATGGAAGCCAAGCGCTCTAATAACTGCGAGTTGCACCATTTTTGAGAAGTGGGCGGGGCTTCTTCAAAGTGGGCGGAGCCTCTCACAGTGGGCGGGGCTTCACGCAGCAGCCCTAAAATGCAAAAATTTTGAAAAAAATCGAAAGTCCGCGAAAAGCAAGTGGGCGTGGTCAGCCTAGATTGCCAAACCCTTTAGAGAATGGGCGGAGTCGGCCATGTGTCAATGCCCGGTCGTTTCCAGTCAAAGTGTTTGTGGGAAACAGCAAAAGCAGAAGTTATGAAACAAGATTTGAGAATCTATGTCCGCGCTGACAAGTGGGCGTGGCCGTCGGTTCGGGGCTCGCAGTGAAGTCTGGCATGATCTGCTCGATGATGCCCGCCCTTACAAGTGGTTAACTTTATGTGAAAAGCGAGGGTGAATTTGGTTTGAAAGGGGTGAATTTGGTTTGAAAAAGACCGGTGAATTTGCTTCGAAAAAGTGGTTGAAATTTGGTTTTGAAAAAAGTGTATGGTGAATTTGCGTTTTGAAAAAGGAGGTTCGACTTTAAAGTGAAAATGGTATATATAAGTGGTCTCAAAAGTTTCCTATTAGCTGAACTGTTCCAACTTCCAAAACATTTATGATTTAGAGTCGAGTTGAAACAACGAAACAATAAAGAATAGCGAGGAACTACTAGGAAATTGGAACAAAATTTATCTCTCTCCTGCTCGTCACAGTGCCAGACCCCGAGTAATTGTATTACAGGGCTGTGCTCGGACACAAGCAATACTGACAAAGCCGAAGATACTCTTCAACAGCAAACGAGCGCTACGAGCTTTTGTCATTCGCCGAATTTGGCATCAACAGCAATTCATTCGCACTTGTTGAAAAAACGAAGGTACAGTGGTCCAAACGCTTTGCGGGGCACTGGGAGCGGATTATTGGTGAAAGAGGGACCTACTTCACTTGGAGCCAGAATATTACTTTCTCATCTGTTTCCTCTTCGTTTCAAATGAATGAAACCCCACATTTTTGGATGGGATGACTAATATGTGTTTCTGTAAAGCCAACGTAAATTGCACTGGACTCACTAAAAACCTCAGGATGAAATTTTACGAATGATGAAGTCCTCCGAGGTGTTTCAGCCAATACTGTTATACGTCGATATGAGACCCATCCAATTTGGCGTAAGGTTATAAAATTCTGACAAAGTGCCAAAAGACCCCGATATAGAATTTGAGTCTTGTTTACTGAACTCTAACCATCAATGTTAGATCGGTGAAACTGGGAAATAGTCACAGTATGATGCTATGTAAATGTGCGGGGTAATCCGATTGAAAAACTCGACCCATTCATACTAGCATTTTTGTCCGCAGATGACTGCAGAACTACAGAAAAGGCAAGATTGTCCCATTTACTATGCATTTGGCAACAGTATTCCTTTTGCTATGCGTCTAGTCTTCAGCCCTCGCACTTTGCTTCCTTGTATTTCGTGAACAACTTTGAATTTTTCTACACCTTACGCCAAAACGCCAGTCTGTCAAGTGTGAGAGCCAGTGGTTGTTCCCCTCGTTTGCTGCGTTGAGTTTTCCACTATACTTCTCGAACGTTCTTGTCCTGAATCGCACTTGATGACCAGGCTGTTTACAAGACACCATCTACTCTCCTTCCATGTGAGGTTTCGAAGTTCGAAAGTTAACAGTCTAGGAAGATTTCGAGCTTCGGAATTTCATTTCCCAAAAGGAATCAAGGGACAGATGGTTCAATATTATTAACTTAAAAGGCACACGATGTAGCGGGGTGCCTAGAAGAGCTTCAAAAGTTCGAAAGTAGGTGGGAAGTCACGTAAGTAAAAGCTACATCTTCTTCTGCTAGTTGGGTCAGTTGTCATATCTCGAAACAGAACTTCCCACCACTACAGATACTTCATATTTCAGGGACCTGGAAAAGCGCCAAACGCCATGGCCGTCAGTGCTTGCAGCAGCATTCATGCTTGCGCTCACAGGAGTTCAAATGAGCATCTACTTTATGTCAACGTGGCAGTATCTCAGAGAAGTTCGCTTTTTCCATTCTTCATTACTTTGTGACAATGTGAACACCCACTGAGGAAGCGAAATGATGAAATCATTGGCTTGTTTTGAATTGTAATTTTTACCGCAGTGTAACTTTTGTAATGGGCTCTGAATTCAGTGTATTGGGTACTCTACCTGTAAATAGGTTCCTTTCAAGGATGTAAAGGTGCCAGTTGCTTCTCAAAGTCGGATAGCTTGCACATGAATAGTGAACTGAATTCCAAGCAATCACCTTACATTTTCAGATTGATTCAACGGCTACAATAAACTTTTTCGGTTGGATCGTTGCAGCGTGTAGTCTTGGATGCGCTATTGTGAGTTAGCCATTGTTAGAGGTTTATTTTGCTCGTGGATGAAATGGCAGAGGCTGAGCAGGAGAGGCCGACATCGTCACAAGAGCGACATGTACACCACGCAGAACATTACGGCGCCAACAAAAGCTGGGCGAGTTGGTCGAGATGGGCGGAAATTTCAGGCATAGATTCTGCTTTGGCCCTCTGTTGACCCTCTTTTGTCAAGGCAGGTTCAAGGGACGACCTAGGCAGCATCAAGCCATGAGATCTCCGCCCATTTTTACCAACTTGCTCGCCATTGATGCTGCTTCAATGTTTCAAGCATAGAAGCGGTGAACATGTCGCATCCATATTCCTCCCAAATCGATCACTAGCCGTTGGCAGAACCATAGGGACCCCCTTCGCCCCTCCTGGCACTTGATTGCTATGTTCGCAGCTATAGATTTGGAATTTTTCAAGATTGATGTCGCGATGTGGTGATGATGCTTCCTTGTTTGCTGTTTCAGGCCAATCCCTTATTCGGTTACTGGAATCAGAGGACGTTATCAACAAAATCTCCAATCACATTTGGTTTCGGCATTTGCGCTCTTGGTTGGTTCGGTTATTACATTGATTCCGCTCGAAAGCATGGTGTACGGTCCTTTAATGCAGACGGCGACTCTTTCTGTCCACGGCCAGCAAAGGGTGCCCACCCGTGTGACATGGAAGGGCGTGGCAATGACGGCAGAAGGTCGTGAAATGGAGTACTGTAGTACTTGATTGTAGCTGACACCAGCTTGCAAATGGAAAAGGAGCAGTAATCAGAAAAGCGGAGCAAAGAGAAACAAAAATGATGGAGAATCAAACCATAGAAAAGAAAAACTTAGCAAATGCATTTAAAGTTGCAATGTCCTTCCGATATAGATCTGCTAGCACACTGGAAAACTCGTAATTACCGACAGAGTTGTGCAATATTATGAGGTCTCTGTTAGGGTTCTTTCCATGGAGTTCTAGCTGTTTTCTTTTCACAAGTGTGCCACTTAGCAACTTGTGGTCCATGGAGAGAGCACCATTTGTGTACGTTCACCTTGTCATCAAAAAAAGTCGGTAGAGGAGGGGCAGAATATGTCGTGCCGGAGGCGGCTTCCTTTCCCCATTTTGCCTGGCGTCTTACCAGGTCGTCAGGCCCCTCTGACGTAGCATCGGTGTCTGGATGGGATGGATCCGCGTCCGCGCGGGTACGTGCAGGGGACAGAGCGCTTGCCTGTGCTCGCCTACGGTGTTGCCACGCGGGTGCAATGATGCTATCCGCAACCTGTAAGCCCCTTACTGTCCCTACGTAATGAGCTAGCTATGCGGCCAAGCACTTGATGATAACCCTCTTACCTACGCCCCATCCACGGCGCCTTACCTATGAATACCTTCATCCACAGCTGCAGACCTATGACACCATTAACACACCTCTAGAATCAATAACCAGCATATCAGTATCTATGATAGATAAGCATTCAAGAAATGTTGTGGTTGGACCACTCTTGACAAACAACAAAACACCAAATCATTAAAGTTATTTACCTCTCTAATAATGAGGATAAACTATGAACCAATATAAATAACAAAACAACTTCTAAAAAGAAATGATGATACGGCCTCAAGCTACTGAATCAAACCCTGCCTCAAATACCTACGCGCCACGAGACAGCCCACTAGGGCATTGGGAACATCCTCCCCTCCGGCTGCCCAGGAGGTTCGGATGCACCTCCGCCTCCAGTGGTTACCTGGGATAGTCGGCGGCCTGTGGTGATGCGGCTCCATTGCGTGGTACTGCTCGTAGATGTTGAACTGTGGCCAGCGTAAATGGACGATGAGTTGACACTGGCGAGGAGCGAGTGGAGCGACCAGTCGAGACGGCTGCAGGACGTAGAATGACAGGCAGGCCAGAGTCGACGCCGACTCTGGAACAGCGGCTCTCGAATGTTCCATCTGAAAAGCGCGCCATTACCGCCGCGCCCGCCATAAGACGCAACCCTTCAAAATAGTCGCACGAAAATCACGACAGAATAGAAAGCGATGACGAAGAAAAATCGGTTACGATTGGTTTACTTTGAGGTTTGAGCCTAGGAAAAATAGTCATACGTTATCATTCCAGGAAATTTGCTGTATGCCTTGCTTCCTCTGCTTTCTCCAGAAGTGAAATGGTACATGTTAGCAGCGAGATTCCTCACAGGCTTTGGAGCAGGTGAATGTTAATTGGATCTAAAAATTTCTGATGCATCTAAATAAACATTCCTTACCTAGCCAAAGGCCCCCTCCTCCTAGCAGATGGGAGAGGGGG